ACTCCAAAATGACAAATAAACATGGAATTATCAACTAATGACTTATTCTGCAAACTATGTCTGCATTTATTTTGGTTTCAAACCAATAAGCATATACTACTAAATGACATAAAAAAAAATGTGTAAGCGAAAAAATACATGACTATCAGTTCTCATGGAAACAAAGTCAGCAAATAGGAGCAAAAATAATGATGTAACATGTATAGTGTGAATATCACATATGGACTGCAATATGTCTGACAAAAAAAAAAGAGAGAGAAAATAATGGAACTTTTTTTTCACACTTATGAAAAAAAAAAACGTTCAGATTTACATGCTGCAATTTTTGGTGGGTAAAGTATTAGAGTTAGCAAACATACAATTTTTTTTAATATAAAGAGTTAAAGCATGGAAGCGCCTTAGTACGAGTTATCATACAAAATCATTACACTGCTCTGAAAGTATAACGTTGCACATAGCGTAACAATGCGAAATAGCTTGTGTCACTGGCATACATAAAGTCAACGTTTGTTTTCTCCATTCATCTACTGTTTTTTTCCAGGCTATTAAATTTCTAGAAGTGTACAAAAAGGTTTATTACTCATAGACGACATAGCGTTAAACAAGTCTGTTAAACAAGTCCGCTAGGGTTTTTATTTTTTGTTAAATTAAGTGAGTAATTTGGTCATTTGGAAACTTGAAAACATTCGAGTCCAGTGACATGTTGATAAATGGTTGCTATTATACAATAGTAAGTAAGAAAGAATGATTCACTTAATTTACTAGAAGTTTTTTTGTTGTTTTTTTTTTCAGTGTAGGCAATTCATGCTATAAAGCATAATTTTGACTGAAAATCACAAATTTTTTTTTTTTTTAAAAATCACACTTCTTAAAATTTACACTTAATTTTATCAATAAAATGATTCGCAAAATAAGAGAAATATCGTCGGACTATTATGTTATTGACACTTTTAAGAAATGGATTATAATAAATATAGGTCTACAGTTACAAGTCTGTGATCACTGAAACTTCAAGAAATCAACATAAATGCTCATCAAATAACAAGAAAAAAAAACATAACATGATCACCATCATGGTTAACATCGTATAGACATCAAAAATAAGAAAGAAAACAAAAATAAATAATTGCGTATATAATATTAATCAAGAAAACCTGCCCATTTCTAATGCAATTTTGCAAAGAAATTTAACAATTTACTACTACATGAACTATGTGGCATAACGGTTGCTATGGTGATTGCTTCATGGTAAAAAATAATCAGTGTTTCAGTAACAAAATTGCTTACTGTTCCTATTTTTTTCCCCAGTCTTATTTTGATGATAGAAAGCTATTTTGAGTAAAATAAATGTAATAGTAATTTCCTAGAATTTTACATCATAATTAGAGATATTTTATAAGAAATTATTCTAATATTTCTGTGAATTGACTTATAATATACCAATTTTAAAATACTGCTTCACCTGTTTTGAAGATTTTCTTAGTCTAAACTAAACAAAATTCAGTTTTAGTATATACAGAAAAGTTGTTGAAAAAAGTAATTTATGTTTTAATACGGGAGGATCCAACCCTTGCTTTATTATGTGATTAAAGACTGATCCATCCTTTGGTTTATTTTATGTTTTCCAATATTCTACTTTTTTCTGGCATTGCCTCTTAAAGAGAACCATTGTTGAAGCTAGACATTGAATACAAAAGCATTTTGTATGCACTGGTTACTCACCACCTTGAACTTACCTACAAGGTTAAGCATTTGAGCTGCCTCATGACAAAACCAACATAGTGGGTTTGCGACCAGCATGGATCCAGACCAGCCTGCTCATCCGCACAGTCTGATCAGGATCAATGCTGTTCGCTTACCAACTCTATTACAAGTGGAGAATCCGACAGCGAACAGCATGGATCCTGATCAGACTGCGCGGATGCGCAGGCTGGTCTGGATCCATGCTGGTCGCAAACGCACTATGTTGATTTTGTCGTGACGCGGCTCATTTTAATATTTAAATGTACCATCTATGTATTATATTCTAAATAGGTAACATTAAAACAGACTTTTAATTAACCAATCAACTTGTAATAAGAAAAACATGTTTAACAACTATAATGCCCAAGCTATGTGAATTCATCACATAATTTAAATATTGTATTTCAACAAGAATTTCTGAAAAAATGGAACAATTTCAGTAACAAACAAAATGTTTATCCACACCTATAATAATAGAATTGTTTATTCTAACTTTTAAGATAACGTAATTTTAAGTTATCTAATTATTATTCTATTCTATCTTATTGTTTTTTTAGCTATCTTATTGTTAATTTAACTATGTTATTATTTTAGCTTGTTATTTTATTATTATTCTATCTTACTGTTATTTTAGCTATCTTGGTGATTTTCCTGCTTGTATAACAGACTCCAATAAAGGGCCTCTTCCCAATTGAAATTTTATTAAATCAGTATTTTTATCCTAATAATTCTAACTTACTTGTTTTTTTTAGCTAAATTAGTTAATTTTAGTATTATTTTTCAAATTACTAATATGTTATAGCTCTTCCGATTTAAGTGAGAAAAATCAGTTTAAGCTTTATTATTGTTATTTTAGCTAAATTAACTTATTGTTATTGTAGCTACATGTACTTATTGTTATGAAAATGAAATACGGTATATATAAATAAAAGTAATGTTTTGCAACTTTTAATCTTAACTCTTGTAACTGAGGCTTTTTTTTTATGATTTTCACCATTAAAGCAAAAGTAATTTTTACTGGTAATCTTTAATAGTACAATTAAAGCTACAAATTACATCTTGTTTTAAAGCATCATACCTATTGTAATGAATTCCTGATGTGATTTTTATATACAGTATTACAAATAAAGAAGAAATATCCCACAAATTGTTTCATGAATTAAAAAATTATATATAATGATGAAGTATAAATTGCTATGCTTACTGGTGGATTTAACACCAATAAAAGAAACAGTAACTGATAATAAATAAAGTATGTATTTACTTTAAATTGACTCCATAATCATCAATAGCCTAGGGAAAAAAATGTATCATTGACTTATTCATGACAAATGCCTTTGTTGTATACAGTTAACTATGTGTTAAAGACCACCTCCAAACCAATTCCACTCCTTGACACCCCTTCACTAATTAAACAGAACAGAGTAACCTTCAAATAAAGTTTATTTTACTAGAAAGTTTGTATTTGGATTTTCTTCTTGGGATGGCCCTTGTCCACAGGTTTGACTGTATAATGACCAAATTTGATAAAGATCTGCTTGCAAAATACGTCTGTATCATTTACCTTTAGACCTCTTACAGTAACTGTTAAATGTGTGAATAATAGCTAATATAGCTGCTATGTTGGACAAGACAATATTCTGTAGCAATTCAGATCTTGAAATTTGTGAAACCAACAATGGGCAGTTCAACATTGAAAGCAGGACAATTTCATTGCACATATTTAGCAGTGTGTTTGCAACATATGCTTATTCCTGCTCAAATTATTGATAAGACAAGAATTTTACACTAAGCCAACATGACCTTGCCCTTTCGTCTATCTACCTCTAAAATTACATGGGTCATCTATTGGTTGCGCAATGTCCCCACTAAGTTTGGCATACCTAGGCATATTGTTTCTCCAGTTACTGATCAGACTAAGGTAGAAAGCTTAATGTCTCTGTGACCTTGACATTCACCTCATGACCTAACATCAATATAGGTCACTATCCAGCTAAAGTCAATGCCACTTGGAAATTTCACAAAACTACATTTATTCCTTCTGAAGTTATTGATCAGACAAAGATTTTACAAAAAAGTATCACTGTGACCTTGACCTTGGATCTAAAATGACCTCAAATCAATGAAGGGTTATCTACAGGTCATTGGCAGTGTTAAAACCAAGTTTCAAAAACCTTGCCTTATTCCTACTTACTTTATTGATCAGACATGGTTGATCACTATGACCTTGACCATTGACCTAAAAGTCCCAAATCAATAGAGATAATCTACCTGTCATAAGCAATTTCCTCACATAGTTTCACAAAGTTAGGTTTTATTATTTCTCAAGTTATTGAAAGGACAAGGATTTTACACTAAATGTCACTGTGACCTTGACTTTTGACCTTTTAGTCTCAAAATCAATGAGGGCCATCCACTTGCAATCAGAATTGTCCCTACTTAGTTTCACAAACCTAACCTTTTGTCTTCTCAAGTTATTAAGCAGCCGACAAAGCTCTTACAGTGTAACTATGACCTTGACATTAAACCCAATGATCTCAAGATAACTCTACTGCCCAAAACCATTCTGTTCATAATTACAACAACTAAATGTATAATAACAAAATCATTAACAGATCTTTGTTGTAATCATATAAATATTCATTACCATATGTCCTTTTACAGTTTTTTAATGTTGTCTCTAGTGTTATGAAACCTATATAATGGTGACCCTGGAAAAAACAAATGTCTGAACCAAGTGCACTAAGAAATCAGTATAAAAGAGTCTATAAAACATATCAGAATAGACAATTTTCTGAGATGATAATGCAAGGTAGTAAACATTATTTGTAATTTGTTTTGTAATATTCGTAGGCTACTGAATAAAGCAGTGTAGATAAATGCAAGGAGTTTGTGAAATTGCAGTAACAATTTGTCATTTTTTGGAATATAGAAATTAGCAGCATGCTACATGAGAGCAAGGTATTTACAGCTCCTCTCAGTTCCCCCGGACTCACATTGAAAAGCTGGAGAAAATATTTAACTTCCTAAACCTCAATATGTTATAACCCGACTATAACATCAGTATAAACGCTGGACCAGTCTATACAACTATTATAACCTGGCTATAACATCAGACTAGTCTATACAACTATTATAACCTGGTTATAACATCAGTATACAAGCTGTACCAGTCTATACTTCAAGGCAGTCCGATCTTCATATTCGACTGCTTTATTTTGATATTGAGTACTGTCATACCTTAAAGTTACGCTAACAATGAACTGTTCTAATATTAAAGCAAGAAAAGTCGATTAAACAAATTCAGCATAGTCAAGGCTAATTAATATCTACAACTCTGTTTTATTTCTTTCCTTTCATTTCAAAATAAATAAAATCAAGAAATAAATTGGCATGGCCTTACGATAACAAAAACCAAGCCAAACAATTACATGTAGATTTTGCCTACATTTTCTTACAACCAATGACAAGTTTTTAGCCTCTTATAAAGCTGACAAAAAAGGTAAAGGGAAAAAAAGGCCTATTCAATAGTTCAACAGCTATCACATGACCAATGACATTTCATTATTTATATCACATGATCAGCTTTTTAACCAATCAAAAGTTCTGTAAGCATTCATATCACATTGAATATATTGAACCAGACTGTGAATTTGAGCATGAATGTGACTGTGACATACTGTGTCTATAAATAGATATTTTGATTGCTACAAAAAACTTGGTTTATAGATACTGTTAGTTGTATAGAAACAGCTATAAGAGGAATAATACTAAACAACTCAAGTAAACTACATAAACATTTTGTTTTTCTGTATGTGACATAATTCATTCACAAAAAGTTAATAACCTTATTGTAATTATCATGTTTATATTTAGTTTTCAGTGCCTGACAAATAATCTGTTTCTTTGTCAAAGCATACAGAGCTTAAAATTACCATGTTTGATGATACCAGGTATATTCACTTTTTTTTTAAAGTTGCCGGTATATAATGCTATGATATAGACCAAAATTTTAAACAAGATTCGGATGTTTTATTTTTATTATAAATAATATGAGTATTTATCACAGTCAAAATATCCCCAAGTTCACAGCCCCTCAGCATCAACAACAAATTCAAAGCTATATTGGCACCCATTTTACAAACGAAAATACGAATTGTATCACACAAAAGTTTGCCCTAATGTTTTCAGGTCAATATTTTGATCACATTTCACTGAAAATCTATTACACACCAAGTTAATGTGGATGATTACTTTCCTTCTGTATATATACATTTATGATGTGAAATTTTAAAGTCGCCGTCCAGTATGCGCAAAAAAAAAAAAAATGTAAAAGGGGGGAATCACATTTGAACTGTTAGAAGTGTCTTGATAATAACCAAGCAACCTTTTAAGGTCCTCAAATTAAATAAATCACTAGTCATCCATGATATATCTTATAATTTACTCCAATCTTGTAAAATTCACACAGCCTCTGAGGCGAAAGTTCATCCATCACTCTATCATCTAACAGCACTCATAGTGACGTTTTCACATTTTACACATCCACGATGTCAGCACACTATCATACATTACTGTCCATTTGCGGACTAACTTTATTATAATCACTAGAACACACACCTGTGTAATCAGGTGGTTCGTCTGTCTGTTCATTTGGTGAAACACTATCACTGACAGTTCTAGGTTTTCTGCCGGCTGAATTTGTAGACAAAGTCCTATTGTGTGATTTTGTCACAGTCTTTTTTTGCACATCTTTGTGCCCATTCGCGGATGATGAAGAATTAGAAACATTTGAAGACATGCTATAACATCTCAACATCCTCGGACAACCGTTTGAGTCTCTCACTATTCTGGTAGGGGGCTTTCCTAAATTTTCTAAACTGGCAGAGTTAGAGTAATAAGGGGGTGGGCTTTCTCTATCATGTACTGTCTTATTAGGAGGAGGCCGAAATAGCTGATCAATATATCGACTACGTATTATATGTTTTTGACTTTCAATATAACCCTCTTCTCCATCTTTGGAGATAGGGATTTGTGGCGGTAGGTCTAACATAGTGTCAGTTTGTACGGAACGTACTCGCACTTGATGCTCTTGAACTTGTGAGATCTGATGCTCGAGAAGTTTCTCTTGACTTGTAGAAGGCGTAGTTACTGGAACATATACTACCTGAAATCATAAAATGGTACAAATTTTAATTTTTATAAAATATCAGACCAACTAATACCTAACGTAGACTTATGCTTCATCATTGTCATACAGTCTAAACAGATAACAGTGTCTACAATAAGCAATGGAAAATTGCAAATATTAAATCCATTATAAATTGTCTGATTGTCAAGTGTTCTGTTACAAATACGAAAATATTTATAGCTTTAAAATGAATAAACAAAACAAAAAGGAGAGAAAATCCATTATTTTGTCAAGATTTAAACTTACAAACGACCTTCAGTTTTGATTGCTTTGATATTGCCATAGGAGTACTAGACCATTGGAATTTTATAAAATTAAAGAAACAGATAAACTGGTCTCACACACTGAGGCAACATCTTCTCAGAACTTTTAGATACCAATAACACTTTAAAATGACTTTCAGTCTGACAAATATGGAATACAGAAGAGCTAGACGCACTTAAATTTTTCAAATAGAATAAAAGATTAGATTAGTCTGGAAGATCCAATCCCCCAGGAGTCTGAGAAAATTTATAAATTCCGCACACAAATAATGTATGACTGAAGTAAAAGAAAAATGTTAAGGTTCATATGACATACTGATTCCATATTTCTATACTTCAGAACATAATATAGGTAATACAACAGGGACTTGTTCTTCTACACTCTGACTGGATAAATTCTTACTTTGTTTTAGACTTACATCACTGGCAAAAATACCATAAACTTACGGTCATTGTCACTGACCGTATGAATATGGCATTGCACTTTTATATTAAAAACTTGAGGACATTGGCTCTGACCAATGAATCTGCACTTTTCAAAGACTTCCAAGGAAACTTGCATCAACAACATGATTATTTACTTCCGTAGACTAAAGGTCACTAACGGTCACTACTTTCCTAGACTTAAGGTCACTGACACTGACCTGTATAACCACAGAACATTGGTCTGACAGTGACTAGCTGTAACCACATAATATTGTTCTTTTGGTTACAGGTATCACCAAGGATATTAAAGATACGACCAATTATACCAGGAAATTTTAAGTCACTATCCAGGTACTGTTTAAGTTGGGAATATAATCAGTCAATTTTCATAATCATTTACAAGTGATGTCAGTCAAGTTTTAGCTTGTAACCAAAAGTAGTTTTTTTTCACATACAGCAGATTCTTGGCAATATAATCAATCAAAATGTATTGTTCTATATATAGAATTGTCACACAAAAATAACAACACAACCAAATAACAACTTATACAAAATTCTTCCCCACCCGCAAGACAAAGAAGTCTGCCCAAATCAAAAATAAATATTCATGGGGTAAACAATATACAAAGAGCAGTCACCTAGATATTATTATAAAAATGTTCTGCAAAAGTTACCTCCCTTTATAAGCAAAAAACAAAACAAAACAAAAAATATCTGATTTGACATGCAGAAAATTCAAGTTAAAAGTGTAAATAGCACTTTTATTAACAGAAAAGGCTGTAAAACTCTTTGTCTAATAGGTTAAATTATTTTGCAGGTTGCAGATGAAGTTACTTAAACAGAGAAAAAGATCAGCCAAGGTGAAGGTCACATGACTTGTTGTCAGTCTGTGTACTCTGTAATGCAATTGTACTCTGTAATGCCTGTGTTAAATATTTCAAAATCTTATTGTCAGGAATAATTTTATATAAATAATTAAGCTTTGAAATATGGGGGAAAAAAACTGATTGCTTTAGCCTTAAGCCCGCTGTCTGATCATGGTCTGCACTTTTTCACTATTCAGTTAGTACTAAGTTCAAATTTCCCCTAAAAATAATGAATGGTTTTGTCCAGATTGAAGGATGGACAAGTCCATTTAAGATATTTAGCTTGGCAAGAGTTTAATATTGATCGTCTATTATGTAATAGTTGTGATTCTCTGTACAGATATAAGTTACAATTTGAATTGTTTGTTATATGTTTTTATCCATGTTTTAAATGTCTACATGTATAGATTAGACTTAAACAAAGAATTTAGATTCTAAACTGTATTTAACCAACATTATATAGCCTACATAAATGTAATACCATGACCTAAGAAAAGTATGCTTGTTTAATGTTTGTACAGATATGATAAATTCATCAGTGAAGTATTGTCTTGTCAGACAGTGTAAGGTTGTCTGAGTGTTACACAGTGTGTCATATATCAATGTCATTTATCAACACTCTACGTATGACATCATAGCATGATAATGTGATTAACCACTTGTATACATGTAAAACCTGCTCGATTTTCCTGAACCTTTTACACTGACAAAAGCCGTATATTTCCAAAACAGTTTGAAACAAAATTGGTGAGAGTAATAATTTTACAGAGAAATCAATAAAATCAAAATTATAACTATACACGTGTGTGTAATTTATTATCCAGAGAGATTAAAAAACGTTGCCTAAATTTAAAAAAAAAATCTTTTTTTACGTTTTACAGTCGGAAAAAAAAAATTGTACAAACCTTAGCTTGCCAGTGTAAACCCATCATTTATTTAAGTATTTTTGGTCTGTTACACAAATAATACAACATATTAGTTTAATTTTAAACTCAAGTGTATTTAAATCAAATGTCAATTTACAAAATTCACTACTGAATCCCAGCACTATAAATGTTGGAAATATTCCAAATTTAACAAAAACACCATAAATCACAAACAGTATAAATGTAAACAAATAATCAACAAGTCACTAAACGAAATTTTCATCCTTTACTTAAGTGTCCTTGATCGTCATGTGGCTACAGTTTTTGTCTGAATCCGTATTTTCATACATAGTATGAATATGTTACGCAAGTCCACTTATAAATAGATTACTAACTTCCCTGTAATACAATTATACAAAGCACTATGATATGTTAACACACACCTTGCTTATGTACTCAGTTGTACAGATACACTATCTGTGCAATTTAACTATCAATAGCACTCGATTCACCGTCCATACTGTCTGAGATTTTCAATGTATTCAAACGAAAAAAATTCCTGAACAACTAATATCCACGATATCATTGTAATAAAGTATATCTTACATAAAATGTATAAATAAAACGTAAATTAAATATCTGTTTGAATTAAACATGCACGATAGATTTCTGACCAATATCTGTAAGTATATAACGCACCTATGTCTTATATAGTATTATTGGTTATTTGTTTTTCCCCCATGGAAAGAATGTCTGACTCTGTAAATCTACTCTCCACATTGTAAATAATTTGTCTAGTGGAATATCAAATGTACTAATTACTGTCTACACACAATGTATAGGATAGAACTCGTCTATGTACCGTAAACAACTGCGTAAAATATTTGCTATAATAAACGCCCCATTTTACAAATTTTGATATTTCAACGGCTTCTGTTGTAGTTGAATTTAGAACTTAGTCATAAAATCGAGAAATACTTCACTTTTAATGACTAAGAAATCATAGCCCGCTGACAAACCATTAGCTCCACTGACCACTGTAAACCCCACAAACATGCCATTAAAAAAAAATATTTGGTAAACATAACTGTACCATACATATTGGTATGATAAATTTATACCCTGCTACTTAAGGAGCTAACCTATGGAAACCAATGGTTGAATAGCATTAAAATACAAACATTTTTTCCATGAATTAAACCTAATCTAGGAGACAGAGCCGGATGATTTTAACCAGCCAATGGCCGAAGCTTTACAAAACGAACTTATTTTCCTTTTCAATATTTATGCACTTGAAAAAAATTTCCTGTTAGCTGACTATCTAGAGGATTTTTTCTATCAAATTATAATGGTGTTTTCCGGTTTCAAATAATGTCTAGACGGTACACACCTAAATGACATGCGCAATATGGAAAACAAAAAAAAAATGTGGCGATTTACATAAAACCATTTGATGATTATTTTCCGTGACAAGGAACTCATTTTGAGATAGTTATCAATATTATCCACTGTGTTTATTGTTTGCACACTGCAGAAAGCATTCAGATTGCCGTGATTACAAAAACAGCTCGGCAATTACAAAAACACCTCGCTTTTAAACAAGTTGACTTTTCTATAATAGAATACAGTTCAACCTATCCAGCTAATACAAAACAGTATCACAAAACTTGTTATTCAGCCCAAGTCTGGATTCAAAAGATTTCATTTCTTTCTCTCTCTTTTTTTTTTTTCTTTTCATTATGAAAGAACAAAATTGTTCTGTATTATAAATAAAAAATCCAAGTGTTTATTAAAATATTTGTGCTGTTGAACATGTCTGCACTGTCATTTAAATGAAAGTTTAATAATATAGAAATATTTAATCTAAGTACACCAGACATTTTCATTATCAAAATATTGAATGAAACCTTTCTAGTAATTGTACAGAATTATATAAAACTGTTCCAAAAACATTCTCAATCTGTCAGCAAGACCGATTATTTACAGCTTATTTGTTCCTCCCAATCTTCATACATAAAATAATAATAAAATTCAGAGGATTGAACAAGCAACCTTGACTTCACACAAAAGCCATAAAATTATTTAATAAGAGCTCTCGGCTCGACAGCCTGCATGGACATTCTTAGTGCTTGATAGTAAAACAATAGTCTGGAAAATGTTCAAAAATGCCAATAATTCTCTCAAAATCCATGTTAGAGTTATGGGCCTCGGGTAGTATTACCTCATTATGCTCAAAGGTGCCCGTCGCGTGACCTGGACCCCCACCCCCCAACCCCACACTACAACCCCCCATATTTTCAAAAATAAAAAATGATCATCTGAAACCTGTAAAACACTATCCAATATGCATATTATAATTTAGTAATAAATTAACAATAGAATTTTATATTTTTGTTGGAAACTATTATTTGATTGTAATATGCATATTGGATAGTGTTTTACAGGTTTCAGATGATCATTTTTTATTTTTGAAAATATGGGGGGTTGTAGTGTGGGGTTGGGGGGTGGGGGTCCAGGTCACGCGACGGGCACCTTTGATTATGCTCTCAAATAGG